TTATAAAGAAGCAATATTCCTGTCAGCCAGGACTAGGCAATTTCCAGATATCCTAAGGCTAAGCCATGGGATAGAGATGTGGAAGCCATCGCCTGTGTGATCCTCACGTATCCTCCTAGATGGACTCCCTCTTGATGGGAACAGAGGAGAGGTCTGGGCTTCAACTGTTGAGACCAGATGTAACTGACCTTCCCTGTCTAGGTGCTCTGTTAAGCTCAGGCCTGGGAAGCCATTTGGGTTTTAGCCGTAGTAGTGTGTCTGTGCATGTGGAGGCCAGAGGTCGATCTTAGATACTGCAGATCTGTCACCTTGTTTTGTGAGGCAGGGCCTCTCATTGGCCTGGGGCTTGGCCAGTGAGGCCCTGGGATCATGACTCCTCACTGATGCCATGTTTACAAGCATGTACCACCATGATCAGATTTTTTTCCCGTGGGTTCTAGGTCTTCGTGCTTGTGCAGCTAGCATTACTGACAGATCCATCTCCCCAGACCCAGAGGAGTCTCTGTCCCTACAAATGACATGGAGTAAAGGGCTGACAGGTGCTGGGATCCCCCAGAGCCTGCAGGACTATGGAAAGATTAACACCCCAGTTTGTTTTCAAAGGGCAGATGGCAGCTGAGGGGCTCTGGAAGCCTGAACCTAAGCACTGTTATCTGAAGCTCCTCCCCGGAGCAGCAGGGGCTCCTGGGTACAATGTTGTCCAGGGTGCAGCATTATGGCAGGTCTGGCCAGCTGACCCTCTGCTGTTCAAGTTCTGACTCTGGGATCCACTCCTCCCCACCTCTGAACTCGGAGCTCCTCAGGAGAGTGCCACCTTCTTTCCTTCCCTTTAGGAAGGCCTGGGTGTGGTCAGCATGGATCCAGTCCCCACTCTAGCTGCCTACTCTGTGCTGTGCACCTTGGGCAGGTCCTGGGGCCTCCCTGAACATCCTGTCTATGAAGGAAGGTGAGAATGTTCTTAGATGACCTGAAGGAAGGTACCAGTGTGCTGGCCTGGGGCTTCTGTGACAAATGGCCACAGACCCAGTGTTTGTGAAGAGCACATATTCATCTCTGTAGAGTCAAGAGACCTTAAGTCCATCATGGCTCTTGGTGGGAAAAGTCAAGGTTGGCAGAGCCAGGTCCTTTGGTGGCCCCAGCAGTGACAGCTTAGTAATGCTTGCTGGGCAAATATGAGGAGCCAACTTAGAATCCTGGAACCTACAGAGAAAAGCCAACCATAGTGGCACATGCTTGTAATGTTGGCACCAGGGAGGAGACAGGAGGACCCTTGGGGCCCACTGGCTAGCTACCAGAACTGGCAAGCTCCAGGCCAATGAGACTAGAGGCCTTCTAGTGTGGCTGTGGCTCATCCTTCACCTCTACAGCCAACCATGGCTGTCCTGTCTTCCTGCCATGCCTCTCTGAAAGTTTTCCTGACGTCATATTCCTAATACAGTCAGGATAACCCCCTATTATAGAGGGTTCAGGAGAGCTGACGGGACCCCCTGAGTCATCCATGACAGTCCCTGTACCTCAAAGACCATGGGAACAGCCACTGGCTCCCAGTGACGGAGCTCCATCTCTGGAGCTAAAGTGAAGCATGGTGGGCTGAGGTCACAGTATTGGATACCAACCTGAGCATCCTCACTGTTCAGGCACTTCAGCCGTAATGATCTGAATCCTGACCCAACATCTACTAGTTGTACCAATTCGGACATGATACTTAGTCACCTCTGAGCCTAAATGTCTCCATATATAAAACAGGTATAGTGACAGTACTCTGTCTACACTCTATGAAAAGCATCCTATGGAGCCTAGGCTAGCCAATCCTGTATCACAGCCTGCTCAGCGGAGCAAAGGTTCCACAAATGAACTTTTATCTTATTAGTCACCCAGAGGTCCTGAGGAGCCAAGCACTATTTATATATGTGGGTCATAAGATAGCCAAATGACACACAGCCAGGAAGTGGCCTTCTCATCCTGATGCTGACCTGGAGGCTGTACAGATAGATGGCAGCTGTAGCTCTATCTCCACCTCCTTCCTACTGTAAAAAGACTTAGAGAGGTCTGGGCTGCAGGGAATACAGCGGGGAGAGAAACCTTGACTTCCTCACAATCCAGTTGCCCATGTTCTGGCCTTTCACCCAGCTCTCCATTCCCAGAACCTGCATCCTCTGCAGAGTGAGGCCACTAAGGGGTACTAGAGTCAAGGTCAGCCCCAGATAGCCCATGCAGCTAATGCTTGTGTTTGAGCCTCAGTTTCCTTACCTGTGTTTGTGGTGAGTTACACACACCTGCTACAAAGGGAGACAGGCCACCCATCATGAAACACATGCCAGGCACTGGGCTCCGCAGGTACCATCTGGGACCCCTCCCCTCCAGGCACATGCCAAACTTGTTGTCCCCACAGACTCTATTTCGTCCTCCATCTGGGTTAGGGTTGGAACCAAAAAGATACAGCTAGACGCAGCCCAGTGCTGATGGGAGATGCTTCCTGCCCCGCCCACCCCGCTGGCTCCCAGTGGCTGCTCCCCATCCAGGTCAGTTCAACAATCAGCAGCCTTCCAAGCCTCATCTTAGATGTAACATTTGTTATTTTATTGGAAAAAGCTGGTATTAACATATTTATAATTTTATTCAACAGTTGGATAATTTGTGAGACACCGAAGAAAAAAAGAATGCACCTATGAGCCACAGAACCCCAAGTGACTGGGTCTGACTAAGTTACCAGCAAGTACATAACCAACAGCCTCCAAGGGCTTCACCCTCAGAGAAGATTCAAAGCAGAAGAAAACAAACTCAAAACCCCAACAATGTCGCAATGATTATGGGAAATGCCACGGATTCAAGACCAGAGAACTTAAGCAGAGTAAAGTGGCAAAGTCTGTGGCTTGCAAGGCTCTGGTCCTTCTGCGATTTCTCACACCACCCCTCCCCCCTCCACACTTTTTCCTCGGTCAATACACACGTTGTTATTAGCAGTCCGCTCTGAACCTGGGTGATTTCTTTGGGTCCCAAACACATATTTTTTTTTTTCTTCTGAGATCTTTTTCTGTCTCTCTTTTTTTTCCTTTCTACTTTGGTACCCGACATTTAAAACAGAAGTCTGGAAACTAGGGCCATGTGCAAGACCTCTCCTTTTGAAGACCATGTAAGATTTGACTTAGAAGACATTATGTGTGAAACCTATGACCTCATAGCAGCCAGCTCCCAAGACAAGTATCTTCTCTAACGCCAAACTGCAAAGGCAGATGTGTGTGCCAGCGATCCAGGCCAGTGTGTGAGGCCCTCTCACCAGGATTTTGGCTTCAGTGGGATTTATATACAACTGGCCACATTCTTCAACTTCTTCACAAGAGGGGAAAGTCGCCAATCTTTTAATTGTTAACTTGAATCAGGGTCAATATGTACATATAATACTGTCCAGAGCGCCTGAATTTTACAGTGATAAACATTCTTCATTCACGTTGACTTAAAAAAAAAAAGCCAAAAAATGTAATGGACCCAGTTTCTGTGTAAATACATGGTCGGAAGTGAGTGTGCATGCGGTTTGTGCTTTGACACACACAAGGATACCTTGATCCACTGAGAAAAAAAAAGCTCCATCAGATCTGTTTCCTGGGTGGCAGTCCGTGTTGTAAAAACTAAAGCCCCTCTGCTCTCTGCTTCCAGAGTCAAAACGCCAAGCCCTGCAGTTCTGGGGTTTCAGGAGTGAGGATGGAGCAGGAGTCACTATGAATGGCCACTCACCTGTGGCCCTGAGGAGGCCTGAGAAAACGTCCTCTGGGGCTGCCTGGCTGCATGCAACCTCCTTGGGGAGCAGCCGGAAGGGTGAGGAGGAGAAAGCTGCAGATACAGTGTAGGTGAAGTGCATCTTGGGAGGCAAGCCAGGACGCCTCTCTTCTCTATCTTCTCTTGTGTCATCTTGCCACCAGCGTGCCTGCACTGAATGCACGACATGAAGATGCTTCCCTTCTAGAACCTTCCCTTGGAATGCTGCTTGAAAGCCAGTCACCAGTGTAGTGGGCTGGAAAGACTTGCATGGGACACCAACTCGGCCTTCAGGGTGTGACTCCCTAGGAACCCTACTTCTCTGCTCAGAACCTTGGTTCCCTCCTGGGTACAGAGGGGATGGTGACTGCACCCCAGCTCCAGCAGAGCCTGGATCTCAGCTGGGAGTTATGAAAATGAGTGGACATCTGTCTCATGGGCGTGACGATTCTACAGTCAGGGACAGGACCCTCTGTTGGCCATGGGAAGATGACTGGTTAGCATGGAAAGGTGACAGCAAAGCCACCACAAAGTGGGCTGCGGGGATCCAGCCACAGCCACCATGGGCTGAGCACCATGCCCAGCGTGCTGTGGGCACTCACAAACAGACGGCAGTGAGGTGAGGGCTACAGCCACACAGGTCCCCAGTCCTGCTTCTCAGGACTTGCCTCAGCCAGGAAAACCTACACAAGGAACCCGGCCCTGCCTCACGATTAACCCTACGACTTAGGCTCTGCTTTTCAGACCCTGCCCTGGCCTTGCTCCTAGAATATGGAAAGACATCCCAAACACCCAAGTGACAAGCTGCCACGGCCAGCACTCATTGAGAATTCTCTGTCCAAACTCCAACATGAAGCAACAGCTCCGAACCAGGTGACATGGCTGGCTCCCTTGAGGGTCTGCAGATCCTGACTGGCTTGTGAACTTCACTCTTCCTCTGGAGCCCCATCATGGACCAAGTTGACTTTCTCAGATAGGAACTGACCCACCCTGGACATGAATAAAGTCCTGACAACAATGAAAGGCCCAGCTTGAGACATGAGGGCCGTAAACAAAGGAGCCCTGGACAGAGGCCACCGGGCACATCCATTTTATCCACCTGTAACTGAGGCCCCTTCCTTTCCTTTGTTTAAACTGGCAATGACCCCATCCAAGCCAACTCCAGCCTAGGGACTCATGTCCCCACAATGGCCACCACGCTCATCCTGTCCTCTTACAGAAGTGGCCGAGAGGGCCACTGAGGCCAGCTAGTGCATGTCAGAATTGACCTTATCCTGGAAGATGTACAGGTTGTTGGTGGCTGCAATGGCAATGATATTCTCGGCTGGGTGCCAGGCCGTGTGCAGGATCTTCTTGGTGAAGTCCAAGCTGTCCACACTGATGTCATCACGCCGCCGCTTGCCACCCACACACACGCGCCTTGGCTTGAGCACCGCTCTGGGTTTGCTGCTCTCCCTTGAGGCCTCCAGCGTCACATCCCGCTTGGTGTTGCGGTCGAACATGCGGAAAAAGTTGTTGTAGGCCCCTGTCATGATGACACTGGAGAGAGAAGGAGAGGGGTCGGATGTGGGTGGAGAGAGGGGACAAGGACACTCCAGAGCTATGGGGTGAGGCAGGCAAATACCACAACAGGCAAGGGGACCCTGGAGACAGACTTCTGCCCCATACTTTCTGCTCCTCTCCTAATCAGGGACTTTGTCTAGTGAAGCATGGAGCAGATTATCACCATGATACATTTAGGAAGCAGGCTTGGGCCTAAAGGAGGAATTTGGTTTGGTTGTAGGGAAGGCTGGAAAAGCTATGGGGAGAGGAGGAAAAAGAGGCTAACTGTCACAGAGGAGGAGGTATTCATATCGTTTTAGTGGGTGAAGAAGATAAGCCTAAATCAGTCCTGTATGTGTAGAACACAGAACATCACTGCCAAGAGGGACCCAACACTTTGTGTGTATGTGTGTGTGTTCTTATGTGTGCATGTGTCTGTGTGTATGCTTCTGTATGTGTGTGTTTGTATATGTGTATGTTTGTGTATGTATGTATGTATGGGTGTATATGTATTGTGTGTGTATGGGTGTATGTGTATGTGTGTTTGTGTATGGGTGTGTGTATTGTGTGTGCATGGGTGTGCGTGTATTTGTGTATGGGTGTATGTGTATTGTGTGTGTGTAGGTGTGTGTGTGTGCATGTATATATGGGTGTGTGTATATAGGTGTATGTGTATATATTTATATGTGTGTGTGTTTGTGTATGGGTGTGTGTTTATATGGGTGGGTATATTGTGTATGCATGTGTGTGTGTCTGTGTCTGTCCAAGACAAGGCCACATGAAGCCACTTTCCAGAGGGCTGACTCGGGCAAATCCAGCTGTTCCTAGCTGGAGAACAATCAGGACTAGATACAAAGCTGGGCCCTGCTCTTCCATCCAGGGTTGCTGGGGATAGGGAATGCAGGTACTACTAAGGGCTGTTAAATCACAGAGTGACCTGCCCTCTGCTGGCCCATTTATTAAGGGTTGTAAAGGGATGGGGAATTTCTTTGATTATCCTTGGGGTCCTGGGATTCAGGCATTGAGGTCCCTGTCCATAGACAGACCAAGCTCAGGGGAATCCAGAGGCAGAAGGAAGGATAAAGATTGCTCTTCACTGGCAAGAAATATGGACAACCACTGACTGGACACTCTCTTGATCCCTCCTGCCAGACATCTTTTCTACTGGTGATGGGAAAAAAAAGTACAGAGTCAATGAGAATTTATCATATCATAAATGGCAAGTTACAGGAGGAAAAGCCCAGGAGCCTGTGGGGCAAGGCAGAGAGGACCAAGGCAGCTTCCTAGAGAAGACAGCAGAGCACACTAGGTGGAACGTGCTTCAGCAGGGTCTAGGGTCAGAAAGAGTAGATGTGGAGGAATGAAAGGAGGGGTGTGGAGATCTATGGGAAATGTCAGGCAGAATTACAATGCTAATCCCCAGGGCTGGGGCTCCATTACAGGCCTGGTGATTTTGTGCTGAGTTTAAGGCATTGTCTGGTTACATGAGACCCCTGGTGGCAAAATAAAGGTCAGGCAGTGGGTGGCAACCTTGAGCCACCTATCCTAATATTCCTTGGGGTTGGAGTCACCGTTTTACAGCAATCTCTCACCTGCAAGTCTACCAAGGCCTGTTCCCACTGTTCACTGTTCACTGTTCATTCTGAGTGGGTATGGCTGCTTGCAGAAGAACCACAGGGGCCCTGGCTCCTGGGAGTGGTCAGACAGAGGCTGAAGCCTGGTTGTCTGTCTTTCCTCAGACCAGGGCTCTACCCTGCCTTCTTCTCATTGGCCTTCAGTGAAGACTATACACCACGACGCAGATCCCTCGTCTCAGTATGGTTCTTGTTCAGAGCCTCTGTGGACCCTTGGGATGATAGCAGCTCCTACGTGGGGCCAGGCCTGCTCAGAGTGGCTTCTGCTTAGTGGTCTTTTGCCTGCCACCTCCATCCCTACTGACAATCTCAGCCTTGAGCACGACCACTATTATCGGCTGCTTAAGACACTCTGGAGTGTCCCACCCACCTGGCACAGAGCAAAGCAGATGCCACCTGTGGATGCACACCTAGATGTATACCTGGATGCACACCTGGATTGTGAGGAGTTTGGGCTGAGGCTCTCACACCACCACTTCACACCCACCGATGGAGGGACAGGGACAGTGGGGAAGGAGGAGATGCCACAGAGGCTCTGGTACAAAAATGTGCCTGGTGTTATGGTCCTCTGGTCACCTGGAGCCTCTCTCCTTCATCTGGGCAGCAGGATACATGGCTATTCAGCCACAGGAGACCCTGAAAGGCTATCTACCGGCCTCAGGTAACAGAGCCTGAGGCCTGTGTGTAGGGACAGAAAAGCAATTTCCCACCTCCTAACAGAGAAAATCTTCTAAGCTGTGGAGGGAAGGGCACGCAGAGAGGCAGGGCCCTTGGGTCCAGCAGGGGACATGAAGGATGCAATGGGCCCCGCCTACATCTACTGTGCTGGGCCCAGGCTATGGTAACACCAGAGTCTGTGCCGTGAACTAGGGACTATGTCTCAGGCTGTGGGGTAGGAGAGGTGGATCACAACTAGGTCATCAGTTCAAGTGAGCCTCAGAGGAACAGCACAGGGCTGCCACAGTGACAGTAGGAGGAAGGTGTGGGCGTTTCAGTGCCTGTCTGTCTAGGCATGGAGATGCTGGGAAGAAGCCCTCATCTGAGGGCCCAGGCAGCGGGACGCACTTGGCTGCTCCTGACTTAAAATCCCACAGCATCCTGGGACAGGATGCCAAAGTGAGTGTCACCATCAGTCACCGGGTGAAGAAAGGCCCACTTCCTAGACCTGGACTTGAGTCTAAGAGCTCCGGCTGCAAGGGAGGAGACCCCCCCACACCTTCCTCACCTCGACCTGGCAAAGTGCAGTTTTATGGTGACTGACTCGGGAAACTCCCTCCTGGGGGGAGGGGGAGGGGCAAGGCAGAGTGTGTGAGGCTGCGTGCCTGCAGCCGGCTCACCTGTCACTCCCATTCCAGGCACACTCAAACTTGTCGAAGATGCAGTCACTCTCATACAGAGAGCAGAGCTTACTCCGCAGGTAGTCGTGGACCTGGTGAGAAGAGGGACACGCTGAGTGATGGACACCAATCGTCTGACACCTCCACCTGACACCCTCACGGGATGGATGATAGTCTTGACATAGTCCTGTGCACACAGCTGACCCAGAGCTGCAGGCTATGGGGATAGCACCAGGGGCCAGCATCCACAGCTCAGACACTGGAGAGGTTGTCATTGGTGAGGCGGGAAAGGGTGGGTACTGCTCTCCACAGTCAGGGGCCACTCCTCTTGCCCCAGACTTTGGCTCACTGTCCTATCAGGCTGTGTCACCATCACCCTGGTCCCACCTGCCTGGAACCTTAGAGGATGAAGCCAAGACTCTAACTCTTTCTGATCCCCGGGTCCAGCACCCTGTGGGATACAGTACACTGGTCAAACCCAAAGGGGCCCATGGCACTGCCAACCGTGCTGGAAGGCAGGGCTCTCATGTTTTCGTCTCCTTGTGTAGGCACAGCACCCTTGAGCACATGGGTGTGGTAGCTTCCCCTCCTGTGTGCCAAGCCTTGCCTGCTCCCTGGTGGCAGAAGAAAATGCTTCCACTGCAGACAAAGAGCGAACAGCAGGCTTGCTGGGCCCACCATGAGGATGGATGCTCCATGTCTAGGATCAGTATCTCCAAGAACCGTGGGTTGAGGAAGATGATAATGTCTTGGGATAATCCCACTCCTGGGAGTCCACGCCAAGGCTTTTCTTTTTTTAATTATTTACTTTTACTTTATGTGCACGGCGTTTTGCCTGTATGTGTATCTGTGTGAAGGTGTCAGACCCTCTGGAGCTGGAGTTACAGACAGTAGTGAGTTGCCATGTGGGTGCTGGGAATTGAACCTGGATCCGCTAGAAGAGTAGCCAGTGCTCTTAACCAGGGAGCCTTCTCTCCAGCCCTCCCTCTCTACTCTTTTTGATGGAGTGAAATCCCTCTCACTTGCCAAGGGCTGCAGGTTGGCCAGTCTCACTACACAGAATTTCTGGAGCACAAAAGTTACCCTCACAGACAACAGCATAGCATTGTTGCTATATTAGAATCTGTGGGTCAGCTTATAGAAAGCCAAGCACCCAGTCCTTGGTCCCCAAAATAGTAATCCTGCCATTGCGCCAGTGTCCCACAGGCTTTCAGAGGCCCAGAGGCTCTACACTCACCCTTCCCTAAAATAATGTCCACAGAGATCGGCCTGTGCTGACCCAGTGTTGTGATGGCCCCATGGGTCTGCAAAAGCGCAGGCTCAGTCACCTCACAGCTTGGAGGTTGTTTCCTGCCTCAGTCTCAAGCTTCGGACACTTTCAGAGGGACACAAGAGGTTCTGTCTCTGTTCAGAGTATACCTGGAGAAGTGGGGGAGCCACAGGCCCTGTCCACTGATAACAAAGGGGTGGTCAGGTCAGCAGGAGATGTCCTGGGAGCATGTGACTTCTAGGAGCTCCTTCCAGAAGCTTTACCTCCAGGACACAACACCTCAGGTTTTGGCAGGGGAGCAAGCAGTGCTGAGTTTTGGGACTGCCACCACTGAGCTGAGACTCCTCTGTCACTCTCCAACTTCCTAGTGTCCCCATCTTTGGAACTGGTAGACAGTGCCTTCTTTGCTGGAGCAGGACAGAACAGGTGATAGGCACGTGTGCTGACGTACAGACACAGTCCTGTGGGTGGGGCTGGGGTTTCTAGTGGCATGCCTGAGCCTGTATCTGCCAATCCAAATTCTAGACCACCTTTAGGGTTCAGCACAATTGCAGCTGACTCCAGAAAGCCCTGCCCTGCCCCCTTGCCAGACACCTACAAGCTGTGTTGCACATGTGTTATTTTAATAGCAAACCAGCTTAGTCCTCGTGCTCCACCAAGAGATCTGGCAAGATGAGGAATAAAGTTTCCCCAGAAGCGCTCAGGGGTCCACCCTGCACACCGGCTCAAAAAAATCCACTCCGAAGATCTAGAAACATCTTCCATGCTACCACTGAACACAATTCACACAGGGAGGTTTATGGTGGGGGTCATGCTTACTTACTTCCTGGTAAGTAAGGCTGTGGGTGCTGGGGGGTTGCATCTGTACCCCAACTTCTGACCTGACTGCATCCCTTTATTCCTCCCCTCCAGAAGCTGGGGTTCTAGATGCAGATGACAGCCCCATGCAGAGGCCCCCTCAGCCACTCCAAAGGCCCTCTGTAGTTTCATCTACAATAAAGCACAGAAAGCCCCTGTGGCTGGGCAGCCCCCATGGCGATGTCGGTACAAGGAAGGGAGGATCCTGGGAGTTCTCACACCTCATGGAGGCCTGAGGCCGCCAGACTTCTGCACACACCTGGTAGGTCTCTATGGGCCTTGCCTCCATGTTCAAGTCCCAGACCTTGACCGTGAGGTAATCCCTCGTGAGCATGTAGCGCCCACTGTGGCTGAACTTCACGTCGGACACCGAGGAGATGATCTCTGAGAAGAAGGAGCGGTTGCTGGGGTCCTCAGGCTCTTCAAAGACTGTGGAGAAAGAATCGGCAGCTGTCATTGGCTGTCCTGCCCAGTCAGAACCACAGCTGGCTGTATCCACCTGGGCTTAGCTGTCTGTCTGTACTATCATTCATTCATTCATCAAACGTTTCCCTAAACACCAACCAAAACCCTGGGCTCTAAGAGGAAAGGCCAGCTCCTGGAAGGGCTCCCTTGTGGAAACTGTGTTAATTGAGTATTTACTATAGTGCTGTGAATGACTTCACTTAATCCCTTAATAAAACCTTCGGGATGGTAGCCTAATTACCCCCATTTAATACACAAGCAAACTCAGGCTGAGAGTGAATTCACAAACAGATCTCAGAGCTACGCCTGCTGCACACTCTCTGCTGCCCCCTACTGGCAGTTCAGAACACAAGACTGAAAGTGTCTTGGTAGTCTGATATGTTAGACATGTTCTGCCTCTAGGCCAGACCCTGATTTGGTTTTGGTACTAATCGGTCCTGGGTCTTTTGTACATGTGTACTGGACACCTGTGGCTAATCACACCCCAATGGGGCCAGGTCATCAGAGCAGGTGGGGACTAGGACCGCTTTGGGCTGGCATTAACTCCCCAGGCTCTGTGGCAAGACAAAGGGGTGCTGGCAGCCAGTTCCCACCTAAGCATCTTCAACTTGCAGAGCCAGCCTCAGGAAACCACTGAGTGACAGCCCTGCCCACTGCCTCATTAGAAGCAGAGGGTTGGCCACAGCTCCCCAGAGGCCCAGGACAGATCTTTCCTCTCCAGGTACATGAAGCCCCCAACAGTGGCCCAGCCCAGAAGAGATAAAAGTGCTAATAGACGGGATTCAAGAATGCTCACTGACGGGGCTGGAGAGATGGCTCAGCGGTTAAGAGCACTGACTGCTCTTCCAGAGGTCCTGAGTTCAAATCCCAGCAACCACATGGTGGCTCACAACCATCTGTAATGAGATTGGATGCCCTATTCTGGTGTGTCCGAAGACAGCGACAGTGTACTCATAAAATAAATAAATAAATAAATCTTTAAAAAAAAAAAAAAAAAGAATGCTCACTGACTAATGTCTAACAACTGTTCATTCCCTGTTCAGCCCCATACACTCAACCCCCAGGAGACAAAGTGAAATGTGTCCCTAGTTGTAGCCCATGAAGAACTGACACGCTCTGGCCGCCATTTCTGAGTCTCAGAGCCCCCCAGCTTCTGTCACACTATCCCTTATACCGATGCCTGCAAAGAGCATACCTGGGGAAGCTCCGGTCCTCACTCCCAAGCTTGTACTGTATGAAGAACCTTGGGACAGGATGGGGATTTGTACAGCCTGTGTAGGGGCTGGAGTGTCAGCCACAAGCCAAGGTGTGGTAGCTTTAGCAGCTGGGAAGGACAGGGGAACAGCTGCTTCTAAAGCCCCCATCACTGCCAGCCCTGCCCACACCGTCTCCAACCTCCGTAACTGTGTGTTGTTTTAAGTCCCCGAGAAGAGTGCTCTCTTGAGGCTTTGTGAGGAGGCTGAGGAAGAGCAAAATGCCGGGGAAAGGGGCGCTATGGCTCCACCTTGGGAGAGTCTGAGCAGCAAATGGTATGCTAGCCTTGAACAGCTCAGCCACTGTTAGCCCTTCTTACAGACTCTGCTGTCAAAAGCAGAAATAACTGTCTATTTTGAGGACTTGTGAATGGCTGTTTCTATGGTTATCTTGTCCCAATGCCTAGCAGATAACAACCTGAGCTTCTAGCGTTTCTGGGAGAGCCGAAGCCATAGACGGGAATACAGGAGAGCCATTATACCTGAGCCCTGTCTGGTTCAGGCAGGTCTGGGGAACTACTGTATCCCTTTGACCCTCAGCTTCCTCCCCTGCCCAGTGGCAGGCGTGAGCGCACACAGGGCTCCACTGCACCTCTCATTCAGAGAGAAGAAAGTTGCAGTGTCACTCCATTAGGAAAGGATACCGTGAGCAGGACGCTAGGGGAGTCTCTGACAGCCACACCCTGGCATTTAAACACAGGAGTGGGAGGCAACAGACTCGCAAAAGCACCAGGCTTTTTACACAAGTGCATCTGGAATAATGATCGTGGCTGATTAGGATCAATACATGCTTGGCCCCTGGGAACCAGCTGCTTGACTTCTCACAACAGCCAAGAACCTACACTGTGGCTGAGGAGCACAGGACCAATGACAGGGACAGTGGCCCTTGTAGCAGCATCAAAGAATAAGATGTTACAACAGAGGGCATGGTTGGTGTCAGAGTGCTTATCGAGCATGCTCCTGGCTAGGTTCCATCCGGTCTGGGGTCGGGGTAGCAGGTAGGCATTGATTCTGAATTCTGGATTCTACACAGGCTATTTTGAAGCTGGGAAAAAAAAAGTCCAGAAAAACCTAAAATATAGAATTAACTCCAACAAAAAATATGCATGAACCTCTGTAATGGTTAATATTCTCAATACCACAAGATCTAGAATCACCTAGAAGACAAGCATTTAGGCACTTGTGAGAAACTGGCAGGGTGGTTAGCTTCTGGGATATCTTCATTAGGTTAGCTGAGATTGGAAGATGCACCCTGACAGTTGGAGGCATCATTCCCTGAGCTTGAATCCTGAGCTGTGAAAAAAGGAGGAGGCAAGTTGAGCACCCACAGTCATCTCGCCATGCTTTCCTGCCGTGATGGACGGTAACCCTGAACCATGACCCAAAACTAACCTTTTCTCCCTTAAGTTGCTTTTATTACAGAAACAGACACATATATAATTCAGGGAAAATTGGTACCAGGGTGTGGGGGTGTTGCTGTGCTGAGCCTGACCACTAGGCTCTTAGGCCTTTAGAATAGACTTAAAGGAGGAATTTGGAGGATTTTGGAGGTTTGAGGCAGAAAAGCCTTGAATGCTGTAGGCAGAGCTTAAGCTACTCTGGTGGGAAAGCTTAAAAGACAAGAATGCTGACAGACGTTTGGACAATGGAGGCCCTGCTCATTAGAGAGAACAAGGGCTCTATCTGGGGCTGAGCTGTGGACCATGCACATAGATTCTTAAGAGAGAATAGCTTGGTTATTGTATGGATGCATCACCTGTCAATTTAAAAACCTTGGCCTATAGGAAAGGGTAGAATAGAAGGTGGAACATCCAGAAAGCAGAAAGAATTCTGGGATAGAGCCAGAGTGGGAGATTCACTCAGGAAGATGTGAGAAGACAGATGCATGGTCCCTGAGCACAGGTAACCAGCCATGTGGCAGAATGTAGATTAGAATAAATGGGTTATTTTAGTTATGATCTACTCAGAGAGGAGACCAGCTATTTGGACAAGATATTTGTAAATTTAGTTTGAGTCTGAGTCTTATTTCTGGGAGCGTGAGGCTGAAAGAACCAGACATAACTTGTACAGATTCTGGAAAAGAATCTAGCTTTGTGTATAAATGTCGCAAGTTTAAAGTTCAAAGGTCATGAATTAATTTGTTTGGTGGAGGACATTCTAAGACAGAATAGCATTGGGCTGCAGCATGCCTGTTTACTGTATGTGAAAGGGCCACAGTAAAACAAAACAGAGTACAATTTGTACATAAAGATATTTTTTAATGTGCAATTTGTCAAAGAGAAAAAGAACCCAAGAAGCTAAAAGCTACAACCAAGACAGTAGCTGAATAGAGGCCATGATTGTCACAGAGAAAGTGCTGGCGCTTCGTGGAAAAAAGAAAATCACTCTTAGGGCAAGACCTGCCCATCAAATGCTCCAACAAGTGGAAAGCAAAGTCACTGAAAGGAGTCAGCCTGCACTGAGGGTGCAGCTGCGGGGGTTCCCTGCCTACTGCCAAGGGCCCTGTTTCCCCAGGGTCAGGCCACAGAAGCAGATACAGATGCGGTCCAAAGAAAGAAAGAGAAAAGCATGTCTTTCCATCACAGGGACATCTGGCGTATGAATACAATCTGTAGAAGACCTCGAGAGGTGGGTGTACTATGCCAAGCTCAGGAAAAAGGAAGAGACCTGTAGCTCTCGTGAGGAAGGCAGAAGGATGGTAACAACAGTGCAGAGAGCATGGGAAGAGAAAACCACAGGCCACAGTCACCTGTGCACCCACACACAAATGCTCTTAACCTGTAGACTCAAACATGTGCCACACAGCCTGTCTCCCCACGGGACTGCTGGCTTGCAGAGAGGCCCAGACAGAATGATATGGTCAAAGCTCCTTAGTGGGTCATTGAGACTCTGAAAATCCCTCCCCAGGACTGCCGGCTCCATCCAATGCCTGCAGTGATAGCACCTCCTACGCTTTAGCCTTGAAGAAGCCTTCAAGTGACACAGTATACCACAGAGCCTATGAACACTGCATCCCTGAGAGGAAGACATGAGATGGATAGAGAGAGGTACTGCAAAATGAACTCTACCTCTCCCATGAGGCTCCAGCCTCACCAGGCATGTAACAGGCATGTACATGTAACAGGCATGACGGAGAAGTTCTTAGGCCTGGGCTCAGGAAATGAACAAGGGACTCGAAGCAGCTTCTCTGGTGGCTGCTGATGTCTCACTCCACTTACACCACCCCAAGAATCTGGGTGTCACAAACTACTAGGGCCAGGTGGCTCTGCCTGCTCCTTCTACCTCTGCACATAATCTGAACAGTACAGAACACCCCTCAGTACCAAAAGCCTCTCCCTGACGGAAACACGCTCACACACTCATACACAATCTCTCTCCCTTACACACACACACACACACACATTCACATACTCTCTCTCCCTTATTCTCTTCCATGCACCTTCTCATTTTTTTTAAGATTTATTTATTATGTATACAGTGTTCTGCCTGCTTGTATACCTGCAGGCCAGAAGAGGGCACCAGATTTCATTATAGATGGTTGTGAGCCACCATGTGGTTGCTGGGAATTGAACTCAGGACCTCTGGAAGAGCAGTCTGTGCTCTTAACCTCTGAGCCAACTGTCCAGCCCCGCATCTTCTCATTTTTAACATGCAGATACATAGACAAATGCAAACAAAACCGTGTCTCATGGTGTACCACTCCAGGGCCATGTCTTCATGTCTTCTTGGTACTGTCTCCGCTTCCATTTGGGGAGCAAAGTAGTATTGCTCTGTCAGTCCCCCCTCCTCGCCCCTCGCCTCACTGAATCTGTCAATGCAGTAGATTCCTGTGTCACTAAAAATCTTCTAAGCATTTGAAATGACTGAAGGGTGTCTCTTAAATGGCTGTCACCATTGCCAACACACCATCTACTCTGCTGGACCAGTGGGATGACTCTGGGTTCTGCCCCACACTGAAGGAGGTATAATGGAGCCTCTGCTCCCTCCAAGGGACTCAGACAGGGCTTAACCCACAGCAGGCCTGGGCTCTCCTCTCCTCCCATCTTTTCTTGCACAGTGTGACAAAGAGCTGAATATAGACCTAGTTCAGGAATGTGTGCCATCTGAGCCAGCAGGAAGTGAGCACAGGTGTTTGGGGCAATGCCCCACGGTGGATGAAAGATGGCCCAACCATGTCTGCCTTAATCCATAAAACCTATTAATCTCTCTCTCTCTCTCTCTCTCTCTCTCTCTCTCTCTCTCTCTCTCTCACACACACACACACACACACACACACACGCACACGCACACGCACACGCACACACGGGGGGGGGGGAGAATTAAGGCCAAAGATAGCATGATCACCAGCTGGTCTGGGCAGATCCTCAGATCACCCTGTGGTCTTGAGAAGGGTCGTCACCCCAGATCACCCTGTGGCCCCAGTGTGGCCATAAGGATTATTATGTGAGAGTGACAAACTGACTTCAGGGCAAGTCTCAACGTGGCTCTGAGGATGGAGGGAGTGGATGAGTGTCCAGGAGGTAGCACAAATGACCCTTGAGAGTCACAGAGGGACCGAGTATCCTCTGCTAGTTCTGGCCAATGAGACATACCTCAGACTCTAAAATCCTAAAACCATGAACTTGTATTTGGGTGGCTCGGGTGGTGGTTGATGTGGCCCAGCTGCTGGAAGTCCAGGGCTGTTTGTGAGCCTGGCTCTGTCCACAGTCACCTGGCCCTCTCAGGCTTCCCTTCCCATCCTGTGGAACGTGGCCCAGGAATACAGTGTGAGGAGAACTGGGGGTGCTTGGGAGGACTCTCCGAGGACACAGAGTCTTGTAACCTTGTGTCTTGAAAACACAGACTTGTTCTTGGAAAGCGTTTTGTGCTCCTCCCAGGTGTAGCAGATAGGAGTGACTTTGCTTCCGATTATTCATTTTTGCTTACTGCTATATAAATTGTTGTGCCTCTATGGAAGGAAAGACATGCTCTTGCCATGCATGGCTTGTCCTTGTGATTGTATAAGACTTGAACTTTACCAATGTGACCTGTCTTAAACCTCAGTATATAAATTGTCTGGGGTTCTGAATAAAGCTGGCTGGTGCATGAGACTTTAGTCTGCCTCGTTTATCGGCTCAGGTCTCCCAGGGCCCACTGTCTCTAGAGCAGTGACATCATTCCATGCTGAAAACCCCATAGTGTCAACCTCAGTTAAGACCCTGACCACCAGCATCTGTACACCTACTGTTCCATACCCCATAGAGTCCAGTGAAGATCTCATTACTGAGCTCCCACTACCCCAGGTCTGTCCACTCCACTTCCATCCAGCTAGAATATGATCCAATCCCTCCTGTCATTCATGTTCAACAGCCACTCTGACCATCCATACCCTACCAGGTAGAGCCCAGTAGCTCTCCCTCTAGAGTGCCCATGGTGGGACTATGTGATCCCTTCCCCAGCTGTCTCTTCTCTCTGTAATGTTTGTTCTTCATTTTGATCAATACCATAACCTCCCAGCATGCCACCCTCCCAAGGCCGCCCTCCATACTTAGAATAAAACCCAGCTTCCCCATAACCACAATGGCTCCCCAGTTGCCCTGCCCTGCTCACTGATCCCCTCCACCCTGCCCATCTTCCCACCTCATCTTTGGTAAAGCTTCCATCTTGAAGCATTTGCCCCTATGATTCCCTTCTTCCAAGGCCTCCACGACTCACCCTTCAGAGGATCTGTTCCTGGGTAACACAGGAGCGAAACCATCCTGCCCCTTTAATACTCCTATCCTTGAGTGGGCGTGCCCTACCTATTCCATGACAGGAACCCTTTATGCCTACCAAATGCTCCTAACACATGGAGTATGAACAAGTCTGGAGGAGAGCTGCAGGGTGGGGCACGGGAACAAAACTTTGTCAAAGAATGAGAAAGGAACTGGAGTCTCAGCCTGACCCCACTATCCAGCAGAATCTGACTCCTGGTGGAGAAGCAAGACTCCCTCACTCAAAAGTCTGGGGTGTCTGCACCTCTACTTCTCTGAAGCCTCTCCAGGGCCTACTGGAATCGCTCATTCATTCATTCATTCATTCATTCATTCGTAACTGTTTCCAGATCTTGTCACAGGCACTAGGGACAGGTGGATGGTAGATCAGAGAGATATAGCCCTATACTGCCTGAGTATCATGGGGGAAGGCAGCCCTTCAAGGCCTCCTGGTGCCTAGAGCCACAGTTTGAAGCCTCAGGCCCATCCTTGGGGCCTCAGTTTCCTCTCTGTTGACCTTGGAGGGATGTGACTATCAACCTGAGACAGGCAGAGCATGGCAGGCATTGCCAGGGGGTTCAGAAATTGCTGTTGCTGGGTCTTTGCCTCCAAGTAACTCATAGGGTGCTCTGGAGAATGGAGAATGGTTAGAACAGACCCCACTCCCCATGCACGCCACAGTGGAGCATCCACTCGTCAGTCCCGATATACCTAGTGCAGAGACTTACGCTTGGAGTGCTTGTCGCACAGGGCGGCTGCCCGCATGTCACAGAGCCGCAGGGAGCCCTTGCTGCTGCTGTAGACGAAGAGGTTGCAGTGGTGTGGATGGAACTCGGATGCTGTGATCACCTCCGTGAGGTCCTCCATGTTGGCTGGCTTGATGTCTACAATGTCTGGGTTGGCGAGGTCAAAGCAAACAACCAAGGCAAACAACGAGGGTATCCTTGCTCTATCCTTTCTGTAAGGTCCATGACAAACTCAACCACATCTGTGTAGCGTCTCTGGTTTTAAGACACCCTCCACCAAACAAACACCCCAGCCCCTAGTCTCCCAAGCCACAGATTCACATGGAAGACTGCTGGCCAGTGCCTCTTCCCAGTACCTGCCCACCAGCTCCACAAAGCTGAGCCCACAGCCTCTTACAGAAGAGTGCTCACCAGCTGCCCCGCCCTGTAGTCACCATGGACTTTTCCCAAGAGCCCACCGTTCTCTCAGAAGCCAAGAAGGCATGCTTACTGTACATAGTGGGGCACACAGCAAGCTGTCCCCGACAGGCTTAGATGCTGGATGCTTGCCCTCTAGTTCCTGCTATTTTGGGGAGACCACAGAACTTTTAGAAGTGGGCCCTTGGGACAGGCCTTTAAAGCTAATGCCTGCTCTCAGTTCTGGCCTTACTCCTGCCTCCTTGGCCACCCTATTACAGGCAGGCTTGGAATACACACCCATAGCCATAAACTGTGTTGCCTCACCATGCCTTCCCTCCCGGGGTCTCAAACTGTGAGTCAAAATAATCCCTTCCACCCATCAGGAGATGTGGTCACAGGGACTCAGAAAGTGATGAGTAGATACATCCATTCTATGCTGGGCCATGGGCACTCTTAATGTATGATTTCACATCTCTGTCCTTCTACGTCTGGACCATGTGTACTGGTTTGTTACCTCAGCACCCGCTCCCCTTCTACCCAAAGTATCGAGACTCTCCAGTGAGAGAACATTCTCTGATTGGAGGCAGCCCCACACTCAGCTCTGACATATGCCTTGGAGACCCTAGGACCTGGAGTGCATGGATGCTGGGATATGGTTTCCCTGGGCTAGATGGGAACAAAGAAGAGGATTCTGGGGCCTGGGGTCACACCTCTCTGCCTGCAGAGTAGAATGGGATCCTATAGGCTGTGGGCATCCAACCGGACAGATGCATGGTCATAGAGCCTAGGGACTGGCTAGTGCCTACTAGGCAGGAAAATGGCCTACAGGCTGTGGGCATCCAGCTAAGCATGTGGGTACAGGCTCAGGGGCTGGGTAGTGCCACCGCCTGGCTGTTGTCAGTGTCATTGGGATGGGAGTTATTAGTACTGAGAGCGTCTGTGTATTACTGACTTCTCTCATTGCTTCAACAAAATGCCTGGCAAAGCATCTTAAGAGAGGAAGGGTGGGATTAAGCCTGATGGAGCATGCCTTTAATCCCAGGAGACAGGTGCCGGCTCTGTTAGTTTGAAGTCAGCTTGGTCTACATAGTGAGTTCCAGGCCATCTAGGGGTACATAGTGAGACCTTGTTTCAAAAAGAGAGAGCAGAGGGGAGGGAAAGAAAGGAGAAGATAGAAGTGGCCATTTTAACGCATTGTTCAGGGCAATCCAGCAGGGCAGGAAGTATGACAGCAACTATGACAATGCACTCACAGCCAAGAGGGAGGGAGAGAGGGGGAGAGTGGGAGAGGGAAAGGGGGAGACAGGGAGAGGAGAATGGGAAGGGGGAGAAAAGGAGAGGGGGGAAGGGGGAGAGGGGGAGAGGGGGAGGGAGAGGGAGAGGGAGCGAGATTGATTCTGACTTTCTCCTTTTCATTCTTTCCAGGACCCAAGCCCATAGAGTGGTGCCATCTCCATCTGAGATAGGTCCTCAATTAACTGACTCTAGAGAACCCCTCACAGACTTGCTCAGGGATCTGTTTCCATGGTGATTCTAAATCCAATCAAGTAGACAATGAGGATTAATCATCACAAGTTATCCCACTCAATTTCACTGGATCCATCCTAAAACAGAGGCTTGAAGGACACTCCTGGCAAAGGCGTGGCTGTGGGAGGGACACGTGACACAATGCACTGAACCACCTCTCCTTGCACACCACGCCAGAGAGGACTTCCAGAAACCCTCAACTATGACCCCTCCAGGTGGCTTTATTTTTGAAGATTAGGTCAGAAGTTAACTGGGTTATGAGTCAGATCGTGGCATTCTGGACTATGCTATGACACAGAGGAACGTCATGCCCCCCCCAAGCCTTAGTTTCCCCATATGCAAAACAGGGGCTTGCTGTGATTGGAAAGTAGTGATTTCTTTCAAGGAGTGGCCAGGTGGCCATGAGCTGAGGTGCACCTCTAAGGCTGTGAGCCCCAGAGACTAGGAAATTCGGACAGCAACACAATTTGTAATTAAGAGAGGATGTTGAGGTGACAGTAATGTCTTCCCCAGGTGACACGGAGTCCAACTCACACATAGAAGACACTCCCAGGGGCTGGAGAGTGGGAGATAGAGACACATGCTGACTGACATAGTGATGGGGACCAGAAGACATGAGGGAGGAGAGACTGTTGGGTCTAGCTCTGAAAGGCATGTGGAGCTCTACACTCTGCTACACCCCAGTCAGATGAGAAGCCAAGCTACTGCAGAGCCAGGCTCTGTTTGGCCCCATAGTGTTGTCTGCGGTCTTCCCCATCAAGGACACAGGAAACCTGAGCCGAGTGGACTCTGCAGCACTGTCAGGCTGTGGAGACTGTTACAGACTGTCAATCATTCCTGTTGCCAAGGTCGTTGCCTGATCTCCTGAAGGGCAGCTGGAGACACACTGTCACCTAGGACTGATGAGCTGTGGAGAGGACAGGCCGTGTGTCCCATAGCTCTCATTCACTGAGTCTCAGAACCCCTTCTACGAAGTGGTGGGGACTGAGGGCTGCTTCTTCATGGGAGATTTCCAAATAACCATTCTCTGAGTCTGGACTATGAGATGGAGAGTCACTGGCTTGTTCCAGCAAATGCCAAGGGAGAAGCAGGCACAGAGAGCTGAGAATCAGTACCAACCCCCATCATATGAGCATTCACGGAGACAGCAGGAGACAAACTAATAAAGATGCAACAATGAACTGAGCCTCCTGACATAGCCATAGGCTGGTCATAAGGCAGCACGGGGCCCATCCCTGAAGAAAGTGAGGAGGTTGGGGTGAGTAGGGCCACACCCAGAACCACATGTGAGCTGTGGAGGAAGGAGCCAGCTCCTAAACATCTCAGCAGGGCAGGCCTTCCAACAGTCTTTGTACTCCAAGGACCCTGACGCTGTGTGGCTATGGCTTGTCACTCAACAATGTACATGCCAAGCACAAATGAGGTTTCATGAGAGAGAATGCGGAAGCTCTGGGTTCCACAGACTGCATCAGGCAAAGCATGAGGCTCATCCACATGCCTTCCCAGGAGCCTGCTCTCAAGACCAGAAGATGTTGTCATGGCAACCAAGTAGTGACTGGAATGAAGCAAGAGGCAGCTCTGCCAGAACCCTGCAGAAGGGCCTCCAATGTGGAGAGCCCCCAAGGCCTTCCTCACATAGAGATGATCTAAAAAAAGAATTGGTTTTTCTCCAGAAGATGACCTGGCTGCAAATGAGCTGGGGACACTCAAAGCTCAGCATGTGAAATCCTAGACACAGCTCCTGGCTGCCATAGTACACCACCAAAGGTGAGTGGGTGAAGCCTCAGGCACATGGTTTTCGGAGTTCTGAAACCTAGAAGTCCAAAAACAGGACAGGAGCCCCCTCTCCAAGGCCTACTGCTGGTGGTTCCATGAGGTCACCCACTCTGTTCCTGTGTCCTCACCTAGCCTCTGCTGGCACACTGTGTCAGTGCCCTCATTACCTCTCCAGCCAAGGACACTAGTCACACCGGACCCCTGTGGCTTAGATTGAAGCTAATATCCCAGGAACATTCTGACTGCAGATCAGTCTCACCCTGAGATCCTGGGCAGGAACTGGGGTCACGGTACCGTGTTAGCGGAATCTTGAGTCCCTGTGCCAGGCATCTTACTGACTTATGTGAAGCACTTGTAAAACATCTGTCCTCTGGATGCAGGGCTGAGATTTCTGTCCCCGCTCACCACCTCCTTTGTGCAGTAGACAACCTATGCGCTGCTCTTGCAAGTCCTGGCAAACGCTTGCCTGCATCCCAGACACCTAAGCAAATGTTCCATACTGTTAAATGAATAAACACATAGAGCCTCAGGGAACTGAACCAGGACCCAGGGGTGCAGACTTTTGGCCTCTACTTCATCCAGTTCCACTTATTCAGTAAGCTCTGGATGACAGTTCTGAACAGGCGCACCTGTTGCTTCTGTACAGTGGTACCCTAAGGCAGTCATGAGAGGCTTCAGTGTGCCATGAACTGGTGAGGCTGGTGTATCTAAATAGCAACTGTTAGTGTACCCAGTGGCCACTCCATTCTCATCACCTGCCACACAGGCCCTTCTCCACTGAACGGAGGAGGACAGCCAGGTGTGGTGTCCAGGTGGCTCAACGAGTGAGTAGGAGGCAGATGTTGACCTAGGTCTTGAGCTAGCCCAACACCAGTCCAAGCTCCCTGAAGGTCTGCTCCAGGGATGCAAATGAGAAATGGGCTGTAGACCAACACTTGCTGTCACACCAGCTTCTGGAACAAGAAACCACTCGGCACCTAATCAATTGCCCTACACTGTTAAATGAATGAACACTCGGGGAGAAAAACCAATACCATCCTTTAAAAATCCTTCAATTGCTGGGCTGGAGGGATGGCTCAGTGGTTAAGAGCATTGATTATTCTTCCAGAGGTCCTGAGTTCAATTCTCAGCAACCACATGGTGGCTTACAACCATCTGTGGTGGGATCCAGTGCCCTCTTATGGTGTATCTGAAGACAACAACTACAGTGTGTGTGTGTGTGTGTGTGTGTGTGTGTGTGTGTGTGTGTGTGTATCTCCTTCAATTGCTAAAAATACAGCTGAGGCCCCCTGTGCTATCTAGTACCTTGAAGATGCAGAGAGCTAACTCTAAAGTCGCTGGCACCACACACCAGCACCTCAAGTGTTAGTTGTGAGACATGAGGTGGTTTAAACCGGTTCAATGGAGTTGAGGGAAAACTTAGCAGAGGCCTGGGTGCCCTGGCCAAGCTGCCTCCGGGCTTTACTCATTCCACTTTCCTGGAAGCTGATGACGACAGGAGAGGCAAAAGGAGAATCCAGGCTCCCAGACGTTGGAACACAGGCTGACCTCCAGCTCCTGAGGGTCAAGGGTCTGAGTCACCTTGGTCTCAGTCAGGAAAGTGGCTGTCCTGGATCTGCACGCAAGCTTCTGCACTCCAAGTCATTTGCTTGCCTTGTATCTAGATGCTCCCATACCTCTGCACGGGGCTGTGGAGTGCCAGGGACACAGGGGAGGTACCATCTTGGGTTCCAAAAAGAGTATGGGCAGAGGGACAGTCATAGAAAACCCTGTGTCACCAGAGATCAGAGGAACTGGGGATCAAGAGGGGTCCTGCCAGCCCAGGAGGGGCATGGCAAGGACAAATGGGAATGGTTCATGGGACTGTGGAGAGAGGTTTGTGGGCAAAAGGGTCATGGGGCCAAGGGGAGGGGGAATGAGAAGAGGGTGGAGCACACCCCACTGGGTCCATGAAGGATGGCAAGTCTGAGAGCTGGGGGAGGGGATGAGGAAAGCGTTGCCATGGATCGTAGGCCACCACCGAGCAGCACAGAGCAGGGTCTCAGACGCTGAAGGACCACTGAGAACCTTATGCAGAGGCTAAAAAGAGCAAGACAGAAAGGGGATGCAAGACCCTGGTCCAGATTCAGCCCAGCTCCCTGCACTCAGCACAAGCTCACACACACCTCTCTTCTGGTCCTGTCCATGCCAGAAGTGAGACTTCTCTAATTACTGGCTGCCATCAGTTGGTGGAAACACCCGAGGCCCAGAGCCCAGACCCTTTTCTGCTAAGGCTCGCCTCCAGGGAATGGGTCCAGAGCTCTGTTCCAGGTGTCTGAATTTCCTAACTGTGGCCTGGGGCACCAGCAAGCCACGGGGAGGCAACATGGCTCCCTGACTAACCTGTCAAGTCAGACAGGAAGCTGCTTCAAGTCCTGGTTTTCCCTAAGCCACTTCCAAGTCTTCAGCAAGTGACACACACTCCTTCCTCCAGTGGACAGGCCAGGCATCTCTTGTTACCAGTCTATAAGGCATTTTCAGTAAAATTGGAGCTATACACTAGTTGGACACAGAGTGCTAGAACAGCCATGTTAGTCCCCTAGTTCCCACAGGGCCACCAGACCACTGACGTGCATTCTTTTCCACTCTGTCTCTCTCTGTAGCACAGGTTCCCTGATCAATGATCCCACTCACTTTCCCACACACCGTCTGCTCCAGGCCCACAGATTCACCCAGCAGAGGCCTGCCTTGGTGTCTTCTCTGCCTACCTGCTGCCTATGGCCCACCTCAGAGGTGGATGAAGAAACTGCTCAGCACACACTGGCTTGTCCCTAAGACCCCAGCACTGGTCACTACAGACTCCTGCATGCCCGGCCTTTGCATGGCTAGTGCCAGCATCAAGCATGTTGTTTGGTCTGGCACACAGTGGGTCTGGCACACAGTGGGTCTAGCACACAGTGGGTGCTTGATAAACACCTGCTGGAGAATGCTGTGATCTTCAACACGAGTGAGCATAATTCCTCTAGTCCAGATAGGAGGAGGAGCCAATAACACAGGGAGAAGGCTCAATGTTAGGATGACCGACTCTCTTTCCTTCTTTACAACTAACTTGTTCTAATGTCCTGTGGCCACCTAGGTCCAGAGACAGTTACACCACAACCCAAGTCAACAAAGTCAACATTTCCTACTGCCTGTACTCCATCCTAGCTATGTCCTTCCCTGCCCCACCCCCACCCCACTTTCTCCCAGGAGATAAAAGCTTGGCTCCATGACTCAGGTCCCTTACTGAGACCTTCAAGGGGCTGGTGACAGTGCCTACCTCACTGAGAGCCCAGTACATGAAACTTTACTTAGTATAGCTGTCACTAAGTCCACGTAATAGTGACACAGTAGCAACCTGCCCACCCTGGATCCACCCTGACCTTCCCCAGCTCGCTGCAGGCTATGCTCAATGTCCTGTAAGTAGTCCTTTCCTTAGCAGGTGGAGGAGGGGCAGTGCCCAGTCCTTGGCTTGTTCTGACACCAGGACCCCACTTCTGGCTGGCTTCGACCCCAGCTTCTGAAACTGCAGTTGTGACTTTACATCCAGAGAGACACAACATTGGACCAACACACAGGGATGCAACCTCTAGGTAGCTGTCCTGGGGGTGGTCAGCCTCCCCTCCTCCTCCAGGGCATATTGCCTCTAGCTCTCTTGCTCCTTCCTGGTTCCTATGGGGGCCTGAGGTGATGAAGATCACTGCCACTCTACGGAGGCGTGGGTGGGATGGAGCCTTCAGCCCTTGTGTCTTTAGAGTGTTCATAAACAGACAATTTGTGATCACACACCCAGCCTCCTTTATACTGTGGATGAGATGGGTTCTTCAGTAAGGAAGCTGCTGAGGACAAACAACCCCCCCCCAAGCTAGTGTGCTTATATAACACCTTGAAGCCACCTCCCCACAGGTCAAGGCCAAGGATACTGAAGCTCCGATCAGTGATGGCCAGATGCCAGAGGTTGATGCGTAGGTCGTCTGCTGACATGTACGTCTCGCAGTCGCTGTTGACGGAGATGGAGTTGATGTGGTAGGTGTGGCCATTGGCAAAGATCCTTCTGGGGCTCACCTCCACCATCAGGTCCATGGGCTTCAGCACAGGCACCTGCAGAGAAGAGGTGGTCAGAGCCACATGGCCAGGGGAGAGGGAGGGGTGTGGGACACACATCTCAATGGGAGGCTGCAACACTCACTCAAAGTAGCCATAGATGGTAAATGTCCCTCACCCACCCTGCTCATGAAGCATTCTGTACCTGCCTGCTTAACTGTGAGGTTTTAAAAGTTTCCCAACCTGTACAAGGAGCTCAGGAGGTAAATCCAACCCATGTTGTGTGAACTGAAGTACCCAGAACACACACACACACACACTGAAGATTAAAGCTTGACAGATTGAGTCAGACTGGGTTACTGATGTTTAGAGAGCTACACACCCAGAACCACAGTATCTTGGGCTATTCTACTCCCCTTGATAGCCATTGGTTACCCACCTCTCTGACTGATCTAACATGCCTTTAACCAGCAAGTAAAAGCTTGTGTGAGGTTGTCAGCTTCCACCAAGTGAGGGTTAGAATGTCATCAGACAGCATCTGAGGCCTTCTGCAGACTTCCCTGCTTAGCTATAACTGCCTACCCATTGTCCTGATCAACGTGCGTGGGAAATGCCTTGTTTGATGGCTCCTTAAAAATTCATGTAGCCAGGCTGGGGAGATGGCTCAGCGGTTAAGAGCACTGACTGCTCTTCTAGAGGTCCTGAGTTCAATTCCCAGCAAACACATGGTGGTTCTGTTGAGGGATCTGATACCCTCTTCTAGTGTGTCTGAAAACAGTGATAGTATACGCACTCACATACGTAAAGTAAGTAAATCTTTAAAATAAAATCACGTAGCCACTTCCATATTGGGACATATTAATTGGGATAGGGCGGATCTATGTTCTTAAGTCATGGCCACTCACTTCCTCCCCCTGCTTTTGAAAGCTGGTGCTCTCAAGACCCAGCGGGCCCTTGTCACAGCTGGTCAACCCTAAGGTTATCTGCTCCAGTCTTCTCAGGTGCACTGGGGACCAAGGAGTGTGCTACATCTTCTCTTGCTCCTGTCTCTCTGGTGCCCACCCAGGTCCCACACAGGTTTCCTCACTGAGTACATACCAGACTGTGTCCCTGAATGAGGCAACAGCCTCAGTGACATATGACAAGCTCCTCTAGTGCAGATGAAACCCACACTGGACAGCGTCTCTCATCTGGGCACTGGCACATGGAGAGCGAATACAAGTGTGCCCAGGAGTGTGACTGTTCATGCAGCAGGAGCATGCTTGCCTAACTCTGCTGGGTCTCCTGTTGCTCCCTGTCTTGTGACTGGGTACAGGTATCTCTGAACCCCTCTGGGGTTCTCTGTCTGTTCCCTATGTGTGGATACCATGGTCAGCTACTAGCCTCCCCCTTTCTCACAATTCAGTCACCATCTACCTTGAGGTCTCTGGGTCAGAGAGACAGGAAGTGGGACTTCTCTGGAGAAGGGAGGAGCATCATGGCCCAGCCTCTCTTCCCCTTCAGCAACCAAGCTTTCTCTTGTCAGCCTGAGGACACCTTGGCTCTCTTAGCTCCCAATGCCTAGTGCAGGGAGGGGCCACAGTTTCTATTTGGATCGTCTGCACCAAGTGAGCACATCTGGTGCTGGCTGCCAAGTGCCACTATGACATCCCAAGCCATCTGGAGGCCAGGGAGGCTATGAGGCAGCGTCAGCCACCACCCACTCTGCTATGGTAGGAAGAGGCTGATGCCATCATCTCATGACCACTTTAGTATGCAGGGATCTTGGTCCCAGATCATAAGGAACATGGATGGGTGGTGACTCTGGAGCCTGGCATCTGTAGATCCAGGACCCAGCTCCTACCTGGCTCCTCTGTGGAATTGATACAATAGGGGGCCTGGTGAGGCTAACAGGAACTACCAGTAGAGTACCTAAAAAGTGCGCACACTCACTCAAGGAAGTGGCAGAGGCAGGACTTGAACTCTGGCCTTAAGGCTCAAACATGTGCACGCACATGCACACACATTCTCTCATTCTTTCACTCTCTTTCTCTCTCTCTCTCTCTCTCTCTCTCTCTCTCTCTCTCTCTCTTTCTCTCCTTCTCTCTCTCAATTTTATTTAGCTTCTTTTGTGTGTATTAACATTTTGACTGTAAGCATGCATGTGTACTATGTGTGTACAATGTGTGTACTTGGTACCCAGGAAGGTCAGAAGATGGCACAGACCCCTTAGAACAGGAGTTATAGATAGCTGGAAGCTTCCACATAGGTGCTGACAGCTGAAACCAAGTCCTCTGCAAGAACAGCAAGTGCTCTTAACCAGTAGGCCATCTCTCCAGTCCCTCAGAACTCTTTCATACACTGCTGGAGGATGCAAATCCTTATGCTTTTTAATTAAGCAGGACAAGAGTTGACTTTGGCACAACTCTACAGCGCCACCTTCTGGCTTCATTGGACGAAAAAGATCTAGTTCAGCTCCTTCTGCCCAGTAGCCCATGGCTAAGGGTGCACTAAGCTCAACTCAGTAGTAACTACAGAGGAACTATAGCTGGGCTCTGGGCCTCAGTTTCTCCTTTCTGTAATGGGCATATTCTGACTTACTGTCCCCTTCAACCGCATGTACAAAGCTCTTCACAGACGCAGCCCACACACCATGCCAGTAAGGAAGCATACATAGTGTTTGCTGTGTAATGGATTAAAACTCTTCATCTTGGAGGAAATTCTGAAGACACAGGTTATAAAGGGGATGTGAAACAACAGGATATTTTAGAACAGGATGTTTACAGGGAGGAGAAACTACAGGATATTCTAAGGCAGTGATTCTCAACCTGTGGGTCGTGACCCATAGGTGGGTCAAACAACCCTTTACATATTAGATAACCTGAATATTTTTACATTACAATTCATAACAGTGGCAAAATTGCCATTATGAAGTAGCAATGAAAATAATTTTATGACTGGGGTCACCATAAATTTGAGGAACTGCATTGCAGCATTAGGAAGGTTGAGAACCACTGCTCCAAAGGAAGGTTGAAGCACTCCTTCCATCAGGGAAGCTCCTTTAGAATAACAGAGGAACAACTCAAAATAGCTTCAGGAAGTCCCTGAAACTGATCAGGTTCACTAAGTTCCTCCCTCTGCAAGAATATGTACGCAGTAAAGATTGGTTAGAAAAGGGTCAGACCATCAGCTAAGCTGCTCAGAAAAGAGTCAGACCATCAGGCTGGAGGAAGCAGAGACCAGGGGACTGATCAGCAGAGCCTCCCAGAAGAGACTCAGAACAGCTGAACTACCTGGAGAGGACACTCTTCAACCTGCTAAGCTGGCTGTGGGCTGTGGGCTGTGTGCAGTGAGCTCCTAGTTCCCAGCTTTGTGAGCTGTCACTCATGCTGGGGTGGGATTCAATGACGCAGCTGTCTTCAAGTCACTTCTATTCCTGTAACCCCTCACCCATGTTCCTGTAGGCAACCCCAGGATGAGTGTCACAGTGGTGTGTAGCCTGACCTAGCTCTAAGAGTCCTAAAGGTCTCATGACTTGGTAGAACATAACGCTGAACATTCCCTCCTGAAGCTCACCTGCAGTGAGGTCACCGTGGACAGGTCTTTCAGCTTCCCCTCCTCATCCTTCAGGTTGTAACCCTCGGGCCTCTTGTCTCGCTCTGTAATCTTCCATAATTTAATAGTTTTATCTTTAAGAACAGATCAGGGAAGAACAAGGCATCCTGTCAACAACCAGGTCAGGAAGAGAAAACCCACTCTAGCCAGAGGGACAGTGACGTGTACCCTGGGGCCACCACCCTGGAAATCACCATCCACGTCCCTCTTCCCCCTCACTGTGCCTTATATAGAATACCTGTGTATATGGGCATATCTGCTTTTGCCACATCTTTTAGTGCCTGACAGGGGATGTTGCTAGGTCAAAGGGCATGACCTTTGCAAGGATCACTACTGACCTCTACACTGGGCATGTATCATGGTGCCTTCCTGAGAAGAGGGTGGCCTTTCTGCCATTCCTAACTCAGTGGTACTTGCTACCCAGAAGCCAGCTCCAGGAGCCTCTCTCCCGTACTCCTCCCTTGGACGTCACAGGAGGAAGAATCAGTGCTGATAATCTTACGGCTCATCTTGGCTACGCCATAGACACTGTTCAAAACACACTGGCTCTTGTTATGAAGAATCCTTTAGAATTAATTAAAATTTAAATCCATAAGCAGATAGCCTGCCATCAGGAGATGGAGGGCCTCGTACAATTGGCTGAAGGCCCTGACAGAATGAAAGCCTACCCGCCGTGGGAAGAGGGGCTTCTGCCAGCAGACACCCTCCAGGCTTGAGCTGTGCACTTCTGGCCTCACAATCACATGGGCCAGACTCATAGCTCCTCTCCATCTCCACCTTTCCCTCTCTCCTCTCTCTGTCTCTCCCCCACATGCCTGGCTTCCCCAGAGGACCCTCCGATAACATCCGCAGTCAACCAACAACGCTGTGAACATGGAAAGGAGCTAGAGAGAAAACTGCTTTCAAATGGGGGCTTCAATAGGGGTGCAGCCTTCTGTGAAGACAGGGTAGAAACGGTCTGTAAAGCTGGCCTAGACATTCTATGGGGGTAAAGGGTAGATAGCCCCCATGGTTGGCTTCTTTCCAGAATGGCAGCAAGTGACTTTTAAAGACATGTGTGCATGTGTGGGTACATGCACACACTCATGCATACACACACGCACAGGCTTAGCATCATCTTCACAAGCTCCTAGACCCACATGACTATCCATCCACCCACACACACAGGATAAAGACCCCAGAGTACAGGTATGCTGAGCTGAGTCCAGCCAGATAGATCCTGTCCTTTCGAAGGCTGGCAGAGACACGCACAGTTAGAATGACAGGTGTCCAGTCACAGTAGGGTCAGGAAGAGGTAGACACCAGGGCAGACTTCATGTGGCAATATCCAGAGGATGGAGAAGGGATTAGAAGGGAAGTGATATGTAAGTGACTGTGAGAACAAGCGGGTGGCAAAGACTGAGTCACTCTCAGGAAGCCTTGTAGCCCCCTCAGCGGTGGGACTTCCTCAGGGAAGGCACAGGCGACACCATCATCCCAAACTCCCTCAGGCTCACAGAGCACTGACTGTTCTCAGAGCACTGGGTGGATATCCTATCTACAAACACAGAAGGGAGCTGTGTCGACCCCTGGGTAGTGTGGAAGCTGAGGCTAAGGAAAGCAAGACCATATGCCCCAGTTCACAAAGCTGGCCCGGACCCAAGTCTGCCCCACCAGACTCCTGGCCCTGGCTCATGGGCTCGGAAGAGAAGAAGGAATAAAGGGCAAGTGTGGGAACTGCATGGCTGCTCCAGGCCAGCAGAAGCTGCGAAGCCTAGACCCAATACCTTGGGGTAGCAGGCAGAACTGGCATGTGGCAATAGTTTTCTCGAATCACACAGTATGTTCTAAAGCAGAGAGACAAAGGTCAGCTGTCTGTCTGTTTGCTACATCATTGAGGATAGCCCCAAATTGGATGACTTGTGATTCTGACTAAGAGTTCAGTTTGTATCTGCTGGGCCCTGGTTTCTGCCCCTGGTCCCTGGTGTTTCAAGTATTCGACCTCATCTCCACCTTGGAGCTATCCATGAGCATTGTATCTACAACGGTGGGAGATCTGTGATCAGCCAGTGAAAACTGAAGAGTAGTCTGGCTGTTACTAAAACCACAGAGAAACCTGGAAGTGAGTCAGGACAGCCACACCCACAGGGCCTCACCATTGGTCGACAGCAGTGAGTGTGCGGCGTTCTGCTGTGGAAGCCATTTGATCTTGTTGATTTTCTCCTCTATCTCCAGGCTCTTCAGGTAGTCAAACTCTGGCTCGTGGCTCTGGAAGGTGCTGTACACATCGTACTCACCCTGGCTGTGAGGTGCATTCTTACTCTGCAGAGAAACCCAAAGGCAGACTGAGCCACCGAGTGCCCAGGGAAGAGGGAGGCAGACATGACAAGGGGATGAACATGTCTTGTAATACGTGTACCATCAGCATCAGCAGAGGAAACTACTGATGCAAGTGTATGTGTGTGTGTGTGTGCATGTGTGTGTAGGTGTGTGCAAGTGTGTATGTTTCACAGGAGTGTGTGTGTGCAGGCCTTTATACAGGGAGGGTGTGGGTATATGCAGGAGTATGTGTGTGTAAGCAGTGGGTATGAAAGTGTGTGTGTGTGTGTGCGTGTGTGTACAGGGAGGGTGTGGGTATGTGCAGGGGTATATGTATCCAAGCAGTAGGTGGGAGGTTGGAAACTGTGTGTGTGTCTGTGTGTGTGTGTGTCTGTGTTTGTGTGTGTGCATGCTGGCACGCACATCCAGGGATGTGTATACACAGTTGTGTGCAGGTGTGTGTGTGCAAGTGTGTATGTGTACAGGGGTATAAATGTGTGCAGGAGTGTATGCATGTGTACATAGGTGTGTGTATACAGGATGAATGTATGTGCTGGAGTGTATGCATGGTGCACAGGGGGTATGTAGGTGTGTGCCCAGAGATCTGTGTGTGTGGACGAGGGTTTATAGGTATATATGCAGGTGTGTATGCATGCGTGTGAACATTTACACACAAGGGACCACCTCAGGTATCATCCTCAGAAACACTGTTCACTCTCTTTGAGGCAGGGCTTCTCCTTGTCCTGGACCTCACCAATTAGGCTAGCAAGCCTCACAGATCTGTCTGTCTCCACCTTCCCCAAACATGGGATGACAGGGACTTGTATTTTTACGTGAGTTCTGGAGAATTCAACTTAGGTCCTCATACTCATGAGGCCATGGATCCCCCATGTGTCCACAAAGCGGCCACCATTCACCCCGCTGAGGTCAGATGCCAGTGCCAAGGCTATATCTATCCTCAGTCATCAGGTCTTAACCCCACTTCCCACTTCCCACAGGGGCTCCCACCCCAGTTTGGGCAGCAGAGTTCCTTCCCCCTCTTGGTGAAGACCTCCAAGCACTGAGTGCTGGACCTGCCATAAATACTGGAGACTGCTTTCCTAGCAGACAAGTCAAGTTTCTATGACAACACGAGATCACAGCTGGGAACGAGTGAAGACGGCAGGCCAAGCACAGCTTCGGGTTTTCTGCTCGTTTTGAAAGTGTCTATTTTTAGGTCTCCGTCTCTGTCTTGCGTTAGGATCTATTTGAAAATCCTTCCACGTTTTCGCCTCCTCTTCCCATGAGCACTAGTTGTGGAAAAGGTCAGCGGGACCAGAGGGAGAGACACAGACTAAAGGAGAAAAAGCCAGGACCTCTGAGCTCAGTTCTCTTTGCAGCGGGCAGAATGATGGCTGCCTCTGGTGTGCCCGGGTGGGCCAGTTTGGTCTTGTGACACCTGTGTGCATCAGGCTCTCCCTGGCCTGCCCTTGGTGAGCTATTTTAAGCCCTCTGTGCTGCTGTTCTTCAGCTGTCAGATGTCACGCAGCTCTCTGCGTAATGGGGTGACGATGAGGGGTCTGTATGAGCTAATGCAGCCAAGGGACCGCCCTCTGGAGGGGTGAGGGCAGCTTCAGCTCCTCCCTGCCCTGCCCTGTCTCCCTTGAGCCTCTTCTTTCTTCATTCCTTGGTTCCTCATTCTCAACACATTCAGTGATAGAGAGGCCCCTTGCTGGGGTGACAGATCACAGCATGTTTCCATGGGGCTTGCTGCTGATTGGTCTGTCTGTAAATGGGTGTGCATCTGTACCCTCAGGGACCAGCAAGAAAGAGAAAAGAAAGAGAAAACAAGGAAACTGTATGGAACATAGAATGCTCAGCTTGGTGTCTGCATAAAGTGGATTCTCAGAGCATAGGTGAAGGGGCTAGGACCACACAGTTCTTCAGGGTTTCAAAAATGACTTCTTGGGTGGATGGTCTCTGGTTGTTCTTGTATTCAGAATTCTGCTGCATAGCAACAGGGGAGGGCAGAAGAGCAGATTAAGACTGGTTTGAAGCCAGGTGTGGATGCCACATGCCCTTAATCCCAGCATTCCAGAGGCAGAGGCAGGTGGATCCCTGAGTCGAGGTCAGCCTGGTCTAGAGAGAGGTTCCAGGACAGCCAGGGCTACACAGAGAAACCCTGTCTTGAAAAACAAAACAAAACAAAACAAAACAAAACAAAACACAACAAACAAAACAGACTGGGGAAGCCTGAGCAAAACCTGCCAGGCCAGCGAGAACTGGATGGGTTGGGGTGGGGGAGTCCTGTCTCCTTCCCCGACAGCATCCACAGGCCGTACAGGTAGGGAAGGTTCTGCTGAGAGCTTGTTGGTTTGTCTGGGACCGCAGCATGTCAGCGAATGATCAGCTCATTTCTTTTGAGTGGGGGCCTCAGCACATAGCTTTGGGAGCTGTCCCAGTCCACTTGCCAGGCCCATGCCCAAATCCCTTTCCCTCTGGCCCCAGGGACCCTGTGACAGAAGGCAGTCAGTAACAGAATTCTAACTGGGCACCTAGGCAAGGCGGGCCAGAAGTCCCGCTCCAAGTATGGCCTGCATCCTGCCAGGCCACATCCACCTCAGCCCACCCTCACCCTCAACTCCACCACCCCCACCCCCACCTCTAGCCATCTGCCCATCCTCTTCCTGCCTCCCTTGTGACCCCTCCACACACATACCTCTGGTTCCCGCTGGAAGATAACCACCCGGCCACCCTTGTCACCTGTGGCGAGCAGTTCCCCAGTGTGGTTGAACTCGACAGTGGAGATGACGTCAGCTGGAGGAAGCAAGACAGAAGGCATCATTAGCTGGCTGCATCATCACACAGTGACATCCACACATTGCTAGACTCAGGAGACCCCACACCCTGGGGGCCCCTGGAGCAGGAGCACGGAGCATGCTGTGGGTGCCCACCCTCCCGCAGGAACGTGTGACTCTTCCCTTCTACACCCTGTCCCTCACACAGCAACAGGCAGGCTTGACCTCCTTGCTCAGCAGGTCACTGGTACAACCTGACACTCAGGGGACAGACTGAGGACAGGGTGGGGTCATGCTGAGGGCCTGGGGACTGTTGGGCATCAGGGAAGGGAGGCACCATTCCACAGGGCTGGATGCCATCAGGGCTTTCCACGGGTCAGGACAGTACAGCTTTGGAAGGGAGGCAAGGGAAGGCTACATCTATGGGGAACAGTAGGAACCAAGGCTCAAGTGACAGTGGCTTGCTGTAGTCTCTAACGTTCCCCTTCGGGGGAACTAAGGGCTAGGAATGAAGCCATGGAAGCCACTGTGCAGGGACAGATGACGAGTAGGTGCAAGGCTGGGGACCACAAAGGCTAACAGACTATCTGCAAACTGGGGACAGAAGGTGGGTGGCATTGCAAGCCACCTGGGTGTGCCTTGTCTTCCCTTCTTGAATTAGGCCCTATGTTCACTCCTTATACCTATGGCAGGAAAAAGCAGCCACTCCCTTGCCAGGACAGTACCTGGTAGGGGTTGGGGTGAACTCCCAGCCCCTTCTTAGAGTCTCACCTCCAGGCAGGCCTCTGGGATTTCTCCCAAGCTCTACTCTAGATGGCTGAGCTCAACTTAACACCCAAAGGCTTTCCTCATGGGGGGTCACCCCAGTAACTGGAATGTCTGACCCACCTGTGTAGGCAGGTGTCTGGAGAGAGCCCACAGCACTAGACTCAGACACTAGTGTCAGTATCTGGGAAAGAAGGCAACCCCCAATCTCCTCAGGCTCTATGAGCCACAGTGAAGGCTGGTCTGAACATTCCAGGTGGCCAGCCATAGGGCGAGGCCACTCATGGGAAGGACAGCACCAGGCCTGGCAAGAGAGCTTCTCCTTCTAGACAAAGCCAGCATTCACCAGCCCTAAACCTGAGGATGTCCTACCACAGGATTTACTGGAATCCCAAGATGATTTTTATTTTTAATTTAGACATATTCCTAATATTGAAAAAGTGGAAGTATTGCTGTGAAAACATATTTCCAATACATTCTGAAGCACAGAAAGCTCTAGAACATCAACTCATATGCCCAAGCAGCAACTATTGGCGGGGCAACAGAGACTCTACCCCTGTAAATGAGATTCCTGGTGATTCTTCACCTTTTTGACCTAGGCTCTGTCAGAACCAAAATCTTTGACCCCCAACTATGGTAATAGGAATATCTGTTAAACAGGTCATCAGGGCACCAGTCGTCCATGGGCCCCAGTAGATCACAAGCAGGCCTCCATGACTATCCTGTCTTTATTCCACTCTTCAGATAGTCACCAGAGAGATGCCCTTGAACCATGTTCTCTCTCCTCATGCCACAACTGCCAGCAGTCTCCACAGCTGATTTCCTTCTCTGGGTATTAGCAGTAGCAGATAGCCTTTCCCTGTCCCAACAGCCATTCCTCGGTTCAACCTCCACGACACCCAACCCCAGTGCTATTACCTGTCATTCAAAGGACAGCCTAGGCCCCTCCCAAATGCTCATCTACATCACCGAGGCTCATCACAGGCTGCAAGGAGTCCATAGAGAGAGCCCAACAACACTGTGGCTAACATCATGACACGTCACTTCCTGCCCAAGGCTTCTAACAGCTTTGCACTTCACATTCAGAGCAGTCTGTAACTGTGCACACCAGGACCCCAGACTTTCCCTTCTCCTGCCCCTGTCCCTTCTCTGGAACTCACATGTCCCCCACTTGGATGGTAACCCTTTCACCTGTTCTGGACTCTGGGCAGGGCCCTGGAATTTGCTTGGGCCTGTGGGACAACAACTGGCAAGCTGTAAGCAGGACCAACAAGAGACTAATACCTCAGCTCTATCCTGTGGCCTCTGCTTTTGCCAGCAGAGGGACCTGCCCAGGCTAGTCCACCAGTCCTCACAGAGGCAGGGGCAACAGAGCTGCTAGCCAAGCCTAACCTGCAGCATGCCACCGACAAGTCTAAACTCGGCCCTTTGCAGATGTGTGACTAAAGCTTGCCAGTGATGGATACCTGCCAGGCTGGCCCTATCCTAGTCGACCCTGCCATCATTCCATGTCTGACCCAGTATCTCCTCCTCGTCCTAGCTGATGTCAGCATCCAGCCTGGACCTTGGGCCTGAGTGTTCTCCCTTGATATCAGTACAACACAGTCTAGAGATTTTCTTCTCATCTTGGACATGGGCAGCCTGTAGCGGGTAGCCTGCTCGGTGGACCAGTGTGGCCGCCTTGTTGAACCTTTTACCAGCATCTTCACCCCATTCCATAGCAGCCTGTTCCCCCTTCCCCTGGCCTGGGCTGTATCTCCGTTCCTTATCTGTATTCCGTAGATGTAATACATACTTCAAAGCCGCAATGGTGTCTGTGTCTGGTACAGTGCATCTAAACAACACAAACCTTTTATTTATCAAAAACTTTTCTTTGGGGTGCTAGGTATAAGACCCAGGCTATTACAGCCCATCATTGAGCTGTACCCCCAGCTCCAATGCATGCCTCCAGAGGCAGTCCCTGACTTGCACTGGGCCTCTGAGCTGTAATAAAAGTCAGCTGTGGTAGCAACAAATTGGGGCATAGATACAGGATGATAACGAGACACACCGTATCCTTTATGCTTAGATAGAGGGAACCAGACAAGTGCCTGCTACACACACACACACACTAAGTTGTCCTGACCACCGAGCCCATCCCTCCATGCAGCACCTGCCCTGGTCCAGGAACACATGAGCTGACCTCAAACCTATAGTACTAGGCTTCCAGATGAAACACTGCCTCTTGCTGTTTCACTTTAAAACTCCCTAAGGGGAAAAAAACAGAATATAAAATTGTATATAAAATGTCTTAATTATATAGACCAGTGATCACAGCCTTGTTAAATAAGCAAACAGGCTGAGGTGGGGGGTTGGAATTCTGTTAACAGGAAGCTGTTAACAATGCTTTATGCAGGATGGTTGAAACAAAATAAATTTCCCTTTCTACTTTTGTAGATGTTCTGTGATGCAGCTACATTATTTTAATAACTTTATTAGGATGTAATCAATACATCAAAAGCAGCATATTTAATGTAGACAGTTTGATGAGTTTAGGTGTATGCATAACACTCGTTATTTTTATGATGGGAAAAATAATGCAATTAAATTAAAATGCTGACATAACCTCACTATCCAGGGCAATCGAGGCCCACCGAGGCTGGGCGGTTACCACAGTAACAGACACTAATGTCTGTGGCAATTTACAATTTGTATGTCATTTTCATGTCCACTGCTTCCTGGGAGCCACAGAAGCCCCCCTGGGGGAGAGATGACTTCCAGTTGGTGGTGGGAGGATGGGGCTCCCTCCACAAACAAAGGCTTGGGAGCTCTCCTTGGACCAGTTGTTAGAAGTTTAGGTTAGCATCTTGGCTCTGGCCACTCAGCTGTGTGGCATCACAACTGTTCTGGCTCCTCATCTGTGGCAAGTCTATCATGTGCAATCTTTCTGGGAACAGAGGACAGAGAGGCAACTGGAGTGGAAGGACCAGGAAAGGAGAGCTAACCAGGGCAAAACAAAATCTACTTAGTAGAGAACCACAGTCTTCAGCCATGCCTGCCCCTAGCTTCTAGAAAGTACAGTGGTACTTAAAAGTATAGGTCATGGGTCTATGACTCAACCCCTCCAGCCCTGTTCTGGATACCAGTGCAGAGCTACTTCTACCATAAAGATCCTTCTACCAAGGCCAGGGCCCTGCCAATCTCTCCAATCAAGGGCTACATGGGGGTCACACCTAATGTCTTTACGGCATAGGCCCCAGGGGTTCATCTGAGGCAAAGCTACCTCAGAGAGACAGGAGTCACTATCCACCAATGTCAACCTAAGTCATTAGGCAGCTAGCCCCTCTGCAGAGGAAGGTCGCCTCTTCTAGTAGAACTGAGACACCTCCTGTCCCAGTACCACCTCCTTCAGGAAGTGCTTCTGGAATGCCTGCCTTACCCCATACCAGCAAACTTATCTTTCCTCTAGCTGTGGGCTCAGGTCCAATGTGTGCTCCTTATAAGTAAGGCCTAAGCGCTTCTTCCCTGGTGGTCTACATCCACATTTTCTCCAGTCTTCACCGTGAAGAGGGGCAGGGTCTTCCACCAATCCCATCCACTTGTCCTGGGAGCCCTCTGTCTCCACATCACGATGATCTAGCCCAGAAACCCTTATTGGAGTGGGGCTCTCATGGCGACAACAGCAGGATCTAAACCCATGACCAAATAATAAAACCAAAACCAAGCTATCTGTGCCACTGGAGGAGAACCAAACACCAGGAGGCCTGTGGGTCAGCAAAAGTAGGAATGCTTAAGGGGGTGAGTCTCCTCACTCAAGACAGCCACAGGGGGAGGGGTGGTGGGAGGGGCCCTAGGCTCTTCTGCAGAGCTGGCAGGCATTCCAGGAAGGTGAGCAGGGACAACGGACAAGGGGCCACTGGCTACCATCTCGAGCCAGCCCAGTGTGTGCTTGTCTACCTGGGACACCTGAGAAGTGAGAGGTGTTACCTCTGGTGGCCATGTAATGACAGGCTGTTGCACACCACAGGCAAAGATGAGCAAAGACAGTTGGATTGCATGCCCTAAAAAGATGACAGAGGCTTGGACCTCAGCCCTGCAAGCAGGAGACCACTCTGCAGTAGGGTTTTTGTAGGTGGTCAGATAAAGACGTCAAGCTGCAGGCAGGAGGGGCTGTAAGCACAAGGACCTGACATGAAAGTGGAGCAGGATCCAGGGGTGGACATACACACACACACACACACACACACACACACACACACACACAAACATGCGCGC